CCTTTTGTGCATCGCCGTGCCCCCACTTTCCAGTCACTGGTGGAAAGGCAACTGCGCAGACTTGCCCGGAGAGCTTGCGAGTTCACTACCGGCAACGCCACCAACGGGCTTGCAGCCGCTATTCAGCGATCTGTGCGTGAACTTGCTCCTGAGTTTCCCTCACTTACAACTTTGCCCTGGGGGACGCCGCAAGCCGCCCAACACGTTCGCGATCTTGCCGATGTCCAGGCAAAAAGTGATGCAGAGACCCGCATTCAAAGATGGCGGGCTACCACTGGTGAGAGTCGATCTCGGCTTACGCGATGGGTCAAAGCCACAGTTCCTGTTGAGCCGGCCTGGTCGCCGGAGCAGCCCTGGGATGCCTCATGATGCTCGTGATGCCTTGCAGTCATTGTGGTCGCCCCCTGAGTTGCCGCAAGCAATGGGCTTTGAAGCCGTTCACCAACTCCTAGACCAGCGCGATGAATGGGGCCTGGAACCTGTAGCAGCTGCTGACATCCTTGCGAGGGCAAAGGCTTCTTCCAAGAAGTCGGTGGGGTTGGACGGCTGGGGTGCCAATGCCCTGGCCCTGCTCGGCCTCCCGGCCTGCCAATGTGTAGCTCAGCTATGGCAAGCGTGCCTAGCAGTAGGTGCACTTCCTGATGCCTGGCTGCGTGTTCGCGTGGCTCTCCTGCCTAAACCTGAAGGCGGGCTTAGGCCCATTTCTGTCGCTTCTGCTTGCTATCGCATCCGCATGACATGCGCCCTCCGCAACTGCAAGACCTGGCTTCTCAGCTGGGCTGACCCCGCCATGTTCGGTGGGATACCAGGCCGCTCAGCTGCTGGCGTGCACGATCTGCTTTTTGCCGACTTGCGTCGCAGCCGGACGAGGCATGGAGCGCTGGTAGGCGCTAAGCAAGACCTTAAAAAGTGTTTTGACACAGTTCAATGGGGCTTGGCCTTCCGTGTGTGGGAATCTTTGGGTGCCCCTAGATCGCTTGTTCGATTGTTGCGCTACTTCTATTCCCATCAGTGCCGGTGGGTAGTGTACCGCGGCCACGCCTCCACAGAGCCGATTCTGCCGCGCCGCGGTCTGCTGCAAGGATGTCCCGCAAGCATGGCGTTACTGAATGGTTTGATGCTGCTTTGGTGTCGCTATGTCCGGCTCAGCCATCCGGGCGCACAGCTTGCTACCTTCGTAGATGACAGAACTGTATGGCACACGGGTCGCAATGCTGCCAGCGACCTCCTTGACACTTTGGGCGCTGCGGCCGAAGCTGACCGCGCTTTAGCTTTGCAGGTCCATCCGGACAAACGCGCATGCTGGGCCACACGGCCACAGCACCGGGCACACTTGGCACACCATGAGCCGATGTGCGGTCCTGTTTGTGACACCTTCAAACTTCTGGGGCTCCGTTACAAGGTTTCTTCGGATTCTGGGGTTATTGAGGGTTGCGGCATTCAAGATGTTATCGCCCGACGTACGAGGCGTATTGGCCTCGCAGCCCACTCCCTCTTCCTGCGACGAGGGCTATTGGCATCAACTGTCATCAGCACCTTCTCCTGGATGGGTCCTTGGGTCACGGTTGCTCACACCACAGCCCAGGGCTGGGCACGCTCCCTCGAAAGCGCTGTTAGCGGCAATCTGGTCTCTGCCAGGTCCCGGTTCCTGCTTTGGGCGGTGTGGGGCCGCCCGCACCTGCGTCCTAAGTTCGCCCTTGCCTGGGCAGCAGTCGCGCACGAGCTGCGTCGTGTGGCTCGCAACCTTTCCACTCCTTGCTGCCCACAGCTTGAGTCTGCTATGCAAGTCCTTGGTTGGACACGCACTGCTGCAGGTGTTTTCGTCACCCCCTATGGTGAATTTTTGCCAGGTTTTGTTTCCCCGACCACAGCCAAGGCCGCCGCGGAGGATAGCTGGCTTCGCCAGCTATGGGCTCAAGACCCTAAGTCTGCTGGACCGCTGCCGCCTGATCTGCACTTTTCTCTGGCCTTCCAGAGGCGTGAGGCCAGGTTCTGGGGCTGCCGTGGCCATCGTCGCCGCGTCCTCCACGCAGCAGCTCACGATACACGAACCCTTGAACGCATGCACTTGCCTTTCCACCCGTGCCCTTGCGGGGAAGCTTTGCCCTCACGCACTCATGTCACTTTCCCATGCCCAGTTCTCGCCGATCAGTCCTTGGCAGGGCGCACGGAAGCTGAGCAACGTTTGTTAGTGCAGCTGCTTACCGGGCTTCCCAGCCCTGAGTGGGCTATGCCTGATGTTTCTCAGGAGCTCCTCCTTGCCCTCTCCACTGCCCGCAGTGTTCAGGGGAGACTGCTTGTTGCCACTGATGGTAGTTCCTTGCAGGATACCGCTCAACCAAGTATGTACTGGTTCAGCCACGCCTCCTTTGGCATCGCATTCTCTTTGCAGAGCAAATTCTCCGGTCCTGTTCCTGGCCTTGACCGCACGCTGGCTGCGGCGGAACGTTACGCTCTCTTGGTCGTTGCCCATGCTGCAGCCATCCTTGAGGCGCCTGTCCTGATTCTCACTGACAACCAAGCTCTTTCTGTGTCCTTCCTGCATGCCGCCAGGGCTACGTCTTCTCAGTTAGGGGGCTATTGGCGCCACGTGTTCTCGCTTTTGCCTGCAAATTCCTCGTGTGTCTGGGTGCCTGCCCATGATCGCCACTCTGAGTGGCTGTGTCCAGTAGCAGGTCTTACTGCTGATGAGGCTCGTGCTTTAAACCGGGCCGCCGATGAGGCCCCTCTCCGAAGTTGTGAAGGCTGATGCATGAGAAACTTGGCATGGGCGTGGAACTCTTTTGCATGGTGGCGCCGTGCAGGTATGGTCTCTGGAAAATGTACCTACACGTTGTTTGACTTCATGTGCCGGGTTGCTTCGCCCGAGCCCTTTAAAATCTCTGTGGCCTGAGCATGTCCTTGAGGACCGGCTTCCTTCCCGCCAGGTATTTCACAAAAGTCCCAAGGTCTCAACCTTGTGTAGTCCGTACGTAATCCCAACATAACTGCTAGTTTCCATTTTGGTCCACTTAATTTTCCATTTGCTTTGCCATTGCCCTTGAGAAGTCATGGCAAGCTCGCAGCCCTGCAGGCAAGATCTCGATGAGTCCAGGCTTCTTCGAGCCGAGCTGGCTGCTGAGCGGCAAAGCTTCCCGGATGCATGGAGCCGTTGAGTCGGTGGAGCGCACAGATTCCGTCCAGTAGGCTGTGTGACGCCCCAAATGGCAGGGAAATGCTGAACAGCTTTGGCACCTCGTGAGGGGCGCCCTCATAGACGTGACGATGCCCCATAGCTTTCGTTGTTGCAGACAGATCAGGGTCCCCCCCCTGACATTCCCAAACAGGTCACGGGGTACCAAAAACCTGGAATCTTGAGGCTGCTCACGTGGTCTCACATGCATGTAATTGGGCTTTCACAAAGTATTGCGTGAAGATGAACACGCTTGCCGGCAGGGAGCCGAATTAGGCAGTAGAGTTTTGATGACACAATCTAGCTGACAGAGGTGGATTCCAGGGTTCTGTGGCCTTGTTGACTTCAAAGCGTGACCTGACTTGAACGTAGAAGAAAGCATTAGGCATTCAAAGAGAATTTCAATGCCCGCTTAAAAAATACCAACGCAAAGATTTACTGTCGTGGCTTCTATAGACAACGCAGTATGGATAATGCTGTAACAACGGCCAAATGTTGGACAATTCTGGTGGGTGAATGTCGTCCTTATCCTTCCACCCATCCGCCCCGCGGAGTCTCCACCCCGCCCGCAGCTTTCCAGGCCAGCAATGGAAACTGTAGGCCTTTTAGGAATTTGTTTCCGCCAAATACATTCCCGTGCTATCGGGGAACCCAGCAAGAGCTTCACAAAAGCATGGACCCTAAGCGCTGAAACTCGAGACTAGCCCGTCCTGCCGGAGGCTAGCTGGGAGCGGAGAACAGAACAGCTTGACTCTCCAAAGAGCTTTGCGCTGTCATGCAACTCAATAAAGCACAAAGCCCCATGACTCTCAGTATTATTACAATGGATGGTACTCTTGATTCTTATATATATTTTCTGTTAATATTGATTTATTACTGAAATCTACTGATTATCATTACTTTTGTTGCTGCTTTTATCCGCATCTGAGGCAGGGCCCTCCTGGCGGCCAAGGCCTGGGTGGATGTGTTCGATCCTTCTGGGCAGGGCAGGAAGTTGTCCCCTAACAAACCTCCTCTCCCAGAGAAGCCCTCCCTGTTGCAACTAAACCAAAACAATTCTCGGGCCTGCTTGTTGCTCTTGGAATAAGAGCAGGGAAAGGAGTCTTAGATATCACGAAGTCAGCAATGGTGTGCCCTAAATCATGTCTTGATGGATGTTGTCCCGAGCTTGCGGGCGAGCGGTATCAGTTGCGCATGAGGTGCAGGAACGAGATGCAGAGCTGGAGACTTTCCGCCAGCAGGTGGAGGCAACGAGCGACTTGGGATGTGCCTGGGTTTGGGAAGTGTGTGGCAGCACACAGGGCTGTGCAATCGCCACCAAGAAGGCATGCAAAAGTAACGCCAGCAATAGCATAGATGCAACATGATGCGACGCGTTTGGCGTCCTTGAGAAGTGTTTTGGGATTTGCCCGGTGTGACGGATGCAACAACTACATGTGGATTAGACTTAAGTGCAAACTGTCAGTTGTTAGACAGAGCCACGGCAGGCAGGATGTCCGGCTGGTGACACACAGCAATGGTACCTGCCAGATCCAAGGCTCCTGGGGGCTTCTTGGCAAGGAAGCGAACCATAAGCAGGGAGTTGTGTTGTGAGACGATTAGCGGGTTTGCCCGTCAACATCTCAGGCGCCTGCGTGAGTTTGTTATGCACATCGCAAAGCCTAGGCGAAGGTCTTAGGATACCATCCTGAATTGAATTTTGCTGAGGTTTTGGCCTGGGGCGGTGGTGATGGGAAACTGTTCTTGTACCTCCTCGCAGGCACTTCAGCACTTGGGGTCAGGATTGGTTGCTTTGTGCCTTCTCGAGCTTCGTCGCGCAGGACTGCTGATGCTGGGCCTGCAGCTGCAGAGACTTTGCCAAACTCAGGGTTGCATTTCTTGATGAGCCTTAAAGCTTCTTGTGATTTTCGACCTTGCGCAGACGCATGGTCTTGATGTGCTACATGGTTACGACTCGCAGGGCTACTGTTCATAGTTGCATTAAAGATGTGTTGGCGACAAGGGCCTCTTGTTGTATTTGGCGTGACTACGGCTCAAGCTAACGGCCCGAATCGCAGAAAGACTGTCCCACGTTGGTGGGTCCGCATCGCATTTGGTGTCATGGCTTCACACAGCACTGAGGCAGATGGAGCACCCCGTGAAAGTTGCATGTCAAGTCGACTGGTCCGGGGCATCGGTGTGGGTTTGTTTGGCATTGGTTTGCTTGGTGTCTCCGTGGTTACTGGCACAACACGGCCGTCTGCATCGATGGCGTCAAGCCTGCACAAGCTCCGCGGAGAGGGCAGTGGCTCTCCAACACCTTTGCTCGGCGATGGCTCCGCAGTCGATTGGTGGTTTGCTTTCAAGCCCACCACAGATGTCTTTCCATCTTGCACCTCCCAGATCACTTGCATGTTTGGGGGCGACAAGGGAGCCTTCAAAGACGCAGGATTGCAGTACATCCTTGCTTCCAGCAAGAGTGGAAAAACCTCTGCAATGCAACTCCATTCTGATTGCTTGGGCAACGGCGCCGACCCAGTGGCAAAGACTTTCGCTCAGGTCTTCTCTGGTGGAGCTGCCAACTACGTCATTTGGAACGACCAGTTCTATGCCGACCCTATCCTGAACGTGAAGCCTAAGTGTGTGAAGGAATGCGAGTCCCCATGGGGACACAGCAAGGGAGTCATGGCTTGGGGAGCTGATGGCACAGGCTTCGTGATGCAGGTGTCCACGCCCGACTGGCCAGGCTCGGGCTCAAAGTCCAAGACACGTCAGCAAGGCAACACGCTGGGATGCTGCCAGGACGAAAACATCAAAGTGGCCCAGCACTTCTTTGCTTTGCGCCTTGCCACGGCAGATGACACCCGATTGGTTCTCCAAGCGCTGCAGAGGGCCTCAGTGGCCACGGATCCCAGCAACGAGCAGATCGTGAAGCTGACGAGCGGACCGAGCGAGCTGGCCAGCTTGGCCAAGCAGTTGGGCCAGGTGGTGCGCGACAACACCGCGCCACTGCAGGGGACTCTGAGCATTAAGGCAGCAGGCGGCCCGATCCGATTGTTTGCCAAGCCTTCTTTCCTTCATGTGCCACCTTGGCACATGGTCTCTTCTCTTCTGGGCGGGCAGTCGCTGCGCACAGCCACATGGTGGCAGCACCCTGAGATCAATTCAACGAGGGCTGGCTTTAAGCCAAGCTGCTGGGATCCCAGCTTGAAATCTTCTCCGGGTGAAGTGCAATCGGCGGTGACTGGACAGTGGAATGGCAAAAAGTTCAAGCTCAGCGGCAACCCCACCAAAAATGCCAACCATGCAAAATTGGGAGTCAGCCTCTCTGGCTCCAAAGTCTCCGTCATGGGCGACATGAACCAGCAGGGAAGTCTTGGCCTGGCCGGCGATGACAAGTGCGATGCATCCCAGAATGGCCGCGGAGGTATGTTCTTTGTGGTGGAGGATGATGTGCTCCACACGGGACTGTCCACCCTCATGGTTGGTGAGACAGCCAACTATGTTGGGGGGCATCCCGCACCTCCTGCACCGACTCCCCCTCCTGGGCCAAGCCCTCCTCCCAGTCCAAGCCCACCTCCCGGGCCTCAGCCTGCACCAAGCACCTGTGGTGGAGCCGGAAAATCGCACAAATCTTGCCACAAGGACGGGTGCACGTATGTGAAGAAGGCAGATGCCAAGGCATGCGGTGTGGAAGGCTTTGGCTGCTACTCTTCTAACAGCTTGTCACCATCCTGCCCGAAGAGCTTGGAGTCTGAGCTAGTGGCGTGAAGTCCTGATGAAGCCTGTGGTCTTTCGGTGGGGATGTATGCATCCTACCCTCGCCATCCTCTTTCAAAGAAAGAGGAATTCGGTTAGATTCGTGTTCCTGAAAACTTTGTGGCCTTGCCGCTGAGGGGCGGCAATTGGCCAGGAAGGGAGCCTGCATCCCATTGCTTCACAGCTTGAAGAGTAGAAGAGCTTGAGGCCTGGGCGCAATCAGAACTTGAAAGCAGAAGACCTCCTGAAACTACAGCAGAAATTATGCCTTGTGCTCGCCTGTGGGCCGGGAGTTGGTCAGTGAGTTTCCTATGGGAATTCCTGCCCCCTTATAGCTGAATACCCGAGCCATTTGAACTTTGAAGGCTTTGCGTTTCGCAGCAACTCTTCAGTAGCAGTTGTTGCAGCAGGTTCGTGCAAAAGCCGCTACATCATTTTCATTCCTGAGGTCAGGGTCTGCCAGTGTTCCTGCATGCAGAATCTGGGGCCATTGGCATAGACGACCCCTTCCAGAGCAACAGCACGCATATGCTGTACTTCCGTAGTTCGCAGTGGAGGTGCCAGCTTTGTAGGTTTTTTGTGCTTGCAGCCGCTTTTGGACACCAAGGAAAAAGCGCTGGGCCGGGCCGAGAAAGGAGGCCATCCGTGCTCCGTATCATGACAATATATTACCCCAATATAACCCTTTAGGGTTTAGGGTTTAGGGTATATTATAGTAGTTTCCATTTTATTTTCCATTATCCCAATATTAACTACTATAATATAATAGGGTATATATTGAGGTTATATTGATATAATGGAAAAGAAAATGGAAGCTACTATAATGGATGATTTGTCAGCAGCCTCACGCCTCACTTCGAGCAACAGTGGCTATGATGCGAGCGTGTCAGAACAGTGGCGGAAGTACCGCCAAAAGGGGACAAATGGAAGCTTCATAGCCTTGTTGGGGAGCAGCTCTTGCAGCCTGTCAACAAACAGAATTCTTCGCCAGATTTAAGCATTCAGAGCCAGCCCAGCCCGCTGGAAAGTTGGTGAGGACACTCCTGCGGTTCCCGAAGGGCCTGAGCCAGGCACGCGCTCTAAGACACAATGAGCTTTCATGGGTATTTCTCGCCATGCCCCTTTGTCCACAGTAAGTGGACGCCACTGCAGCGGCTAGGTTTGGGTCAGGATTTCGGCTACCACCTCCTGGATACCGAGGCGCTCCTAGGGCCTGTCTCAGCTGTGAGGGTGGGGTCATGAGTTTGCAGATGTGAAGCTGAACCTGTTCAGCCACTCAAGCTCAGCTAGCTGTCAACTCCAGTCCGGGCAGCTTTGAAGCTCGAGGTTGATCCGGGCTCGACAGCCTCTTTTGCATGGCTCTGTCTAGGTGAATGGTGCAACCGTGCGCATGGTCAAGATCCAGTGTCCCGGCGTGGAGCACGAGGATGTCAGCGTGGACCTCCTCTTCAACGGATGTCAGGCCTTGGCTAAGGGCTTGATTGGAGTCCTTCATGTGCGAATCCTGTTGCACTTTGCATCCCGTAGTTCCCGCTCTAGAAACAGCAGGAAGTACTGATCCGGTCAGGTGCGACTATCCCGCCGCGCTGCCTGCGGCGTTGCAGCGGCAGCCTGGGCGAAGCGTTTCGAGTTTCCTACACACGAGGCATGGTGGGATAAAAGGGCGTGCAGACTTACAGTCTTAAATCCCAATGGAACTCCTGCTCTCGTGGCAAGGTACCAAGCCACAAATTCAAGCATGGTAAGAGGGACGCATTTCACAGAGTTGCAGAAAGTCAAGTGCAGGGATCCAGCGCCTGACAGGGGATCTTCGAGTTCTGGGAGGATCAGATGCGTCTGGAGCATGGTCCCTTGACTTTCGTGAGCCCGGCTTCAGCTTTCAGACGTTAGGGCTCACAACAAACTATTCCTTCATGAGCCGCGTCATGGCTTGATGATGTTCGCAAAGAATGATGCCCTGCAAGATGCCTGGGTTCACCTGAGTCTTGCAGATGCAAGTGCAATCGTGGCTCCCGTTGAGGACAAGAGGGCTGCGACTGTAGCCGGCCATTGTATTGTTTGAGAACACCCAGACAAAGAAGAAAGCTTCAGTTGCCGATGTAAGTGCCTTTCGTCGAGGTTTCCTCCACCTTATCTTCCGCATGCGTCCGTTCCACAGCCGGCGCGTTCGCTTTCCACGGCATTACACGTTGCCAGGCTTTGCTTTTGGAGTTCTTGTTGCTGATTCTTCCTGGGTCGAAGGAAAGCTGTCGGGTGTTAACCACACAAATGGTTCAAAGTGTATTGGCGTCTCTTGCTGGTTGGTGCATCGCCAATAGTTTCTGCTATGTCAAAGCTACTTAGGCCAACTGACCTCATCGCTGCTTTTAGAATTTCTGCGCTTGCCCCCGAAACCACGTTCGAGTATCAAGCGGGCTTCAAGTCTCTGAAAAGCTACTATATCCCCCATATAACCCCTATATAATCCCAGTTTCCATTTCATTTTCCATTTTCTTTTCCATTTGATTCTCCATTATTGGGGTAAAGCTAAAGCCCCCAAACCCTAAACCCTAAACCCTATATAACCCATTATAGTACAGTAGTTTCCATTTTCTTTTCCAGTATCCCTATATAGCCCCAATATTACTAAAGCAGCTCAGGCTGACCGCAACAGACACGGACGACTGGTGGGACTACCCAGGCCTCGGCCATGTAAGCTATATAATATTACCCTAATGGGTACCAAATATTCCTAGGGAACTACTATGGTATAATGTGGTATATATTGGGGTTATATTGGGGAGAAAATGGAAACTACTATAGTATAATAGGGTATATATTGGGGTAATATATGGGTTATTTTGGGGATAATGGAAAAGAACATGGAAACCACTATAATGGCTTTTATAGGGTTATATGAAGTGGAGCGTCACCAAAGGTGAAAATGAGACATCCGCACTTGTAGCAGAGGTGTTTATCGGTGCATTCAGGGTAAGAGAGGCTTACACACAAGCTAGACAGAGGAGACCACCCAAAGCAAGGCTCTGGGACCCAAAGCACTGACATAAGTCAGGAAGTATAGAAAGTCACCCCTGAACACCCCTGAACCCCAACTTTGTGTTAGGCGCTGCAGTTCCAGCTGGCAAGGCCAGACGAATGGAAATGCATCCGAGCCAATCGATAGCAGGGACAGTCCAAAAGCAATCCCAATGAGGATATACATGTCAGTGCATTGCGGGAGGTGCCTGGTGTTCTGGGCCAAGCATGCGACATTAGGAAACCTGCTCAAGTTGATGTGAGTTCCGCAACTTTCACGAGCCTTGCAATATGGCCGCGCGCCTTGCATTTCAAAGTAGATACAACGCCGGGCACATCGGTCGTGCCTTCGCAACACAGCACTTTGCCAAGGCATGTATTCTACCCAATTCGAAGCTTAACTGTACTTCTTTGACCTGATATGCCTCCACCTTGAACCCCTGAAGCCCTGAACTCTGGCCCTGCAGGAAGCCGCCAACCTGGCAGATTCTCATGTGCAGGAGCCATCAAGGGATCTGATACTTTGGGCTGCAGGTTGTGCCATGTGGCAAATTGGGGTTACCTGTACCAGTGATTTTAGAGTTTTGTTGAGATTCTGCGCTTTCCATTTCATGTTGCAACTGTTATGCCCTGACCCTGAGCTCAAGCAAACTGAGCAGGACCCGCGCAAGGTGACTCCGGCCTAGCACGTGGGCTTGCCTCTTGCTGGAGAGGCATGCAAAATCTTGAAACTCAGCTTACGATCTCGGGCAAAAAATCGCCCCAACTTATCAGATAGACTGCTCGGCCCCAAATCAGCAAGGAAGAAAATTTATGTGAGGGCACAATGGGGCCTGTTGCCGAGTGGAATCTGGGAACCTCAGGGCGATGCACAAGCCTGAGTAGTTTGGAATCAGGTGCGCTTGTATACCTTGTCACAGTCTGGTGCTTCGTCAGCTCCACTTTGGTGTAGCGGCTGTGTATTCTGAGTGTGAAGTGCCGGCACAAGGGCTGTTGAAGCAATGGCCCAGCCATGCACAAGTGTAGCTGTGAACCACCCGCTGACTCGAAGTCAGGCCAGTGGTGTCAGAGGAGAATGACAACTCGCATTTTGACCTTTCCTCAAATATTTGTTTGTTGAAACTTGCTTTGCTAAGCAGGGCCTGAACTCGAGACAGTTTCTTTGGGAAGAGGTGAGACTTTCATGTGACGCCTAGTGGCGTGGCCGAGCTCATGCAGCCTTACATGTTCGGAGCATCCATCTCTCCTGTTCCCTTCGGGTGCTGATCCAAGATAACGCCTTCCAACCTCGTGCCAAAAATGGTCTTGCTGCTGCAGTGCGTCAGGCATAATGAGGCAGACTTTTGGCAGTTGTGCACTGTTGTCTCCTGGGTTTCTTGCGGCGGCTTAGGGCCCTGCCAATATGTGTGCTTTCAAGCCGTGAGTCCAACAATCCTGAAGGCTTGAAGAACATTAGACTGCCAAGGCGGCAGCTTTCTAATTTGAACAGTTTTCTCACCTAGAAAGCTACTTGTTGACTTAGAGCAGCTGCATGTTTGCAAGCCTGCACTTGCCCCATCAGATATAGCCTTCTTAAGGCGCACTTCTCCGGATGTGCTTGACCTGCGTACCTTGATGACTCTTGCAAACCGTCCCGGCTAGACATTTTCGGAAACAAGCTGGTCGGCCCCTCCATGGAGGCATTTTTGATTCTGCAGTCCCCTTGCCCAGAAAATCGAGAACAAGATAGAGGACTTTCGAGGACAATCTCAAGAACAGTAAGCAACAGCAATGCCACAGTTGTAGTGCCCTGCGATTGCCCCTGGCCCGGACACTGAGATCCGAGATCTCTGCTGCACTCCATTTTTAGTGCCTCACTAAGGGAGCGCTCGGTCGAGGATGCCTTGACCTCAGCAGGGCTTAGTAGAGAATATATCATATGGAGGTTATGTAGGGATTATCTTTCACTATTGGGCTACATTGATCTTTGGGAAGAAGATGCGAATGAAGCAGCAGCAGGCATCTTGAACGATTTCTAGGACCACTGAGTCCCCAACATCAAACAAACTAAGAGAAGAGCTTGGAACTGATTCTGTAGTACCCATTTTCTTTTCCACTCTCCTTATACCACCCCTCTATAACCCCCATATAACTCAATGTAGCCCCAATGTCACACTGATTGCATGATCCCCCGAGACCTCACTTTCAGGTCGACATCTATCGCAAGGCTGCACCAGAGGCGTGTGCTTGGTAGCCTGAGCTCTCATATAGTAGTTGCCATAAAAAGGAGGACCCCAAAAATAAGGGAATTATACGGGGTTTAGGGTGGTAGTTTCCACAAGTTAGGGGGACCCCAATATACGTACACCCCAATATGTTGTAATCCTTCTTATGGGACCCCCAAAAAGGTGCACCCCAATTCGGGAAACGCCCCCATGTTATTTGGGATCCGGTGCACCGTTTTTTTATTTTGGCTGGAGCCTTGAGGTTGGGGTCCAGCGCTAGGCTGCATTTGGCAGCAAAACTTTGAAAGCCAAGCCTCCAACTGTGTAGCAGAATCCGTCTCAGCCAAGCGAACTGAGGCAAGGAGAAGCCAAGTTGGAATCAAAATGCATAGTAGCCCTTGCTCCATGATTTGCAATGGCCAGCAGACCCAGATAAGCTTGCAGGACACGGACGTGGACTGCTTCGCATACTGCAAGGAGGCTCTTCATGTACCGGAGCAGAAGGTATTTGGCACCTCCTCCAGTCAGCTAGCTTTTGGCAGAGAAGATGGTGGCTCAGGGCTTGGATGGGCTTGGTGTTTGGGGATTGTGAGTTAATTTGCAGGTGATGGTCAGGTTCAGGTCATGGGCTGAATAATTCCAAGAGCTAGGCAGAAGCCACCAACAACAGGACCTAAACCGAGCAAATATGTATAACGCATTTAGATCCCTCACAGCGGACAATTCGACCCACTGCAGGCTGTGTCGCGCGTGCAGGTTCGCTATCAGGTCCAGGAGGCTGCATGGGACAGTTTTGAGCAGTTAGCGTCTCCAATGACTTGCGACTCTTCTTCCGCTTCTGACACTAACAATGGGGATGTAGATTATCACTACACATCACACGGTGTTAACAATCATGGTGATGATGCTGATGATGATGACGATGATGATGATGATGCTCATGCTGCTATGCTGCTACGCTTCAGATGCTTGCAGTGGTTCAGCTTAGATCTAGAACCGGCAATGCAGCCGTGGTTAGTGACCGTGGAGCAAAAGCAGCCGGATTTGGTGTGCCTCGCCCTGTTCTCTGGACCCTCAGAATAGCACCGTGAGAACAAAGCTGCTGAGTCCTTCCGCCTCCGCACAAATTCAAGCATTTCTAGAGCGTGTATTCATGAGGAACGAGTCTGAGAATGTCAATGTCTTCTAGTTCAGGTTCTTGGATGACGCAATAGACATGTACCCTTCTACGCACCGCTCCTCGTCGCAGAGAACTTCAGAGATACCAAATAGTCCCCTTGCAGTCTCTTTCCAGGATTGTAGCTGGAAATGCCTACAATACTGGAAGAAATCCCACTAACCCCAATATAACCCCAATATAACCCCAACATAACCCCAATGTAACGCCAATGTAACGCCAATATAAGCCTAGTATAATCCCAATGATTACCTGTGTTCCATTCTTGCGAGCGACAGGGCCCAAAGTTCGACGAGCAGGGCTTTTCATCCAAGATTGGCGACGAGCTTTTGGCCTTCAAGCTTGACAGGACATACTTTACATATGAGAAGCGCCAGATGAACTGAAATGCCGGGCTTGGGGCATCTATACACTAGGGCTTTTTTTTACTTTGGGTGGTCTCATTCCATGAGGGCAGCTGCCCTTTGCCATTTGAATGCAGGGCAAAACTCCGCGTTGGAAGTGCCTAGACCCAAGACCAAGAAGACAAAAGTCCAATCGCAAGTCTTCAGATGGTAACGGTATAACATCACTCAGTACATATATATATATATATGTACCAATATACTATAGTAGTTTCCATTTTCTTTTCCATTGTCCCAATATAACCCCAATAGAACCCTAGTATAATCCCAATGGGTACCTGTGTTCCATGATTTGATTTCCTTACCCTGGAGGACATGCCCCCTGACGCCAATCGCCATCTCCCAGCTGAGCGATCAGCCAGGGCCGGCCCAGGACCCCGACCGTCGAGGTTTTCTGGGTTGCTGTTAAGGATCTTAAATTAAGTTACCATAATGGGTACATGTAGTAAATAATAGGGTTTCCCCAATATAGTAACATAATTTAAGTTCCTTAACAGCAACCCAATATTTTTCCTGCATCAATGCAACCCTGGATCAGGGTTTGGGGCATAGGGTAAGGACAGTTCTGCGCATTTTCATCATGACCATCATCATCACGCTAGACTTGGCATGAGACGATGGAGAATTGCCGGTACCAGCACTCAAGAGCGGAGGGAGACTACGTGCTAGAAGCTAGAAGGATGGGCACCTCTCATCACGAATCTATACGAATCTCAGAATTCAATGTGGCTGTGGTGGAAAGAGGGTGTGTGTTTGTAAGACTTCAGCTTGAATGCTTGAAGCTATCAAAGATGTGGATTGAGGGTGGACTGATATGTTGATGTGCCAAAGCCTGACACTGCTCCAATGGTAGGGGCGCAAACGTGCCCGCTAATGAATCCCGATACGGAACTTAGTTCTGGTGAGTCAGTACCGGATTTTGTCATCAAGTTCTAGGCCAAAAGAAGCTCAACTCAAACTCACGACTCAGAATTCAAGCCTTGGACAGCACGCCTCTGACTTGGAGCACTGCGCCTGCGCTAGGCCGTAGGCGTTCAGTGTGGCTGGTACCTCGACCTCCCCAAAACGTTGCTCGCCTGCAAGGGATATAGTGGATAGGGGTTAAAATGGGGTTACGAGGGATTCATTGGAGGGTCGAACAGAAGTGCAGGAGTTTGGCACAGGGTTGCGGATAAGAATTGGCAACTTGGAAGGAGTTGGTCTCGAATGGGTTATGTGGGGTCTCAGATGTGCAGCTGCAGCGCATTTGGGCGCTTAAGTTTTAGAGTCAGGTCGTGAAGTCAAATTTAAAGGCCCCTTCACTCCATACGAACCCCGCAAGTTTGACCGGCTGGCCTTGCGAGACTTCACGCTCATCATTTTTTTCCAGCAAACTTCAAAGTAAAGCTGCTTGAAGGCCCCGGCCGCCTTCAGAACTTGTTCTGATGCGTCTAGAGTTTAGGGTTTATAGGGTCCCTTGTAAAATCCCTATAAGTATATCATAGTATAGTAGTTTCCATTTGCGTCCTAAGCCATTCCAGAGATTCCAGGTTCTCGGGACCCTCGCGCGAAGCGCTGGCAAAGGTCATAAACATGATCGGAGGCGGGGTGGTCAGCTTCAGAAGACTGAAGCTACAACCAATACTGCCCGCATTATGAACATTCCTTTCTGCATCATTACTCTAATAATTCCTAGTATATTACTATCATTGCCACTACTATTAGTTGAACGCCTTGATCTCACCAGGCCAAAGTTCGGGATTCAAGAAATCTGTTCAACGCTTCATTCGCATTCCCATCTCATTTCAGCTATTCAGTGGAATCATATTCCATTCCTTGTTACCGGCATTACTATTCTTGCTCTTGTGACTGTCGGTACTATTCTCCTTAGTACTCGTATCATCATTTCCACTGCTCTTTCT